TCTCTCTCTCTCTCCAATACTAACCTGGAAGGTGGTGCCGTGCTGCAGGTACTTCGAAGACGAAGCTGGAGCTATGGCGCCACAGGTGAGTATCCCTGGCCTCCGCCAACCATCTCTCTCTCTCTCTCTCTCTCTCTCTCTCTCTCTCCTACTAGCGCCCAGCGCTGAAGACTACTGCTATCGCTACTACTACACCAGAGTGCCGCTGCCGAGTCCTGAAGACTACCTCCTGCCCTCTGCACGTGAAGTGCCTGGGAACTGCCTGCAGCCTACAGGGCGGGTCAGCATTATATAGCGCTGGCCCGTCCGAGAGGCTGCTCGCGCCTATACCAAAACGTGCCAGACCCTGGGGTTGATGCTCCACAAAATAGGCCATTATGGCCTGAGCTAAAACCCCGGTCTGGTGCCTGAGTTTCAGGGTAGGTCGATCTTGCGAGGGCCTGCAAATGGCCCGTCGTTTTCAGGCTGGAGGCCGAAACGACACAGGGGCTGAAACAGGCCCTACCCCTACGGACCCTTAGTCTACCAGGTCGGGCTCTGCTGGGCCCGTGTGGTACGGAGTATGCCACACGCAGCAGCACAAACGGCAAGACAAGCATGCAGCAAGAGGCACAAGAGAGCGCTGACAAATCAGCCAAACTCCGAAGCAAACTGGCAAGCTGCAAGGACAGAGAAGACAAGTGGATTCCCAGCAAGCAACAGAGAGTAGCATATGGCAGCACTCACAGAGTAGCGGAACTCTGCAGCAAACAGGCAAGCTGCATGGAAAGATGAGGCAAGTGTATGCGGAGAAAGGCGCAAGTCAGCAAAGCACCAGGCAGTCCTGACAAAGCAGCCAAACTGCACGGCAAACAGGCAAGCTGCAAGCAAAGACAGGGAAGTGGACGAGCAGCAATGCTGAGGAGGCAACAGAGACAAGGCAGTCAAAACTGCCAACGCGGAACCAAGCAGCAGAGAGAGAGAGAGAGAGAGAGAGAGAGAGAGAGAGAGAGAGAGAGAGAGAGAGAGAGAGAGAGAGATGCTGCACTGTGTTGAAATTTTGCACTGTGACTCTTAGCCGCCACGGGTCGAGCAGAGCACGAGTTAAAGTGTAATATTTTTCTGCTCTTCTCTTTGTTTCAAGAAAGTGCATCAGAATTTCATGCAATTTTTCTTGCACTGTTGCCTCTATACAACCATTCGCCTAAGCCGACTGAAGCAGGACTATCTCGTATTGGTGGAAACCCTCACCTCAAGATTACAAGTGAGACCCCGCTGCACAACACGATTTCCACAGTCCAGGCCACAGGGGCACCACTGGCAACATTCTTGTATCGTTGGGCGCACGGGATGTCCCGTGCAATATGCAGAGCGCGAAGAACCTGCCATGCTGACATAAGAACCTGTCTCCGCAGGGCAGAGTCCTGAGTAACAAAACAATCTGAAATGCAAGATTGCACAAGGGAAAAAAAAAAAAAAAAAAAAAAAAAAAAAAAAAAAAAAAAAAAAAAAAAAAAAACCATCATAACACAAATCAAAGACTGACAAAGAGAAAGAAATATACAAAAGAGTGTGTCATGTCAGAGGACTTCATTGCTTCTGTCCCTTTGCATTTCAGTGACCTGGAAAGCAGGCTCCAGCACATAGAAAGACAACAAAAATGAGCGGTGTGGAGGACGGCATATGATCAGCTTACAATAGCAGAGACTATGTGGGTATCTACAAGGTTTTCATACGACCTTGTTTCCATGAATACAAGGTACGGTCATTATAACCAGTATTTAGACTGAAAGATACCCAAATACAGCGATAAGTCCCGTACGTTGTATTCGAGGGAAGAAGGTAGACAGTGGACAGCCGCTCATGAGGGCTATCATTGCCATCTTTCCAAGTTTCCACAAAAGGGGGCACAGTTAACGCTAGAACAATGGAGGCCTAGCTTCACTACACACTACTCTTACATGCTTCTGTACATTTTCTAGACCCAATACATTCAAAATGTTCGGACTCATTCGAATGCACCCGGTCCAGAAAGTGAGCAAAAATGCATGTAGAGTGTTGGGTAGTGGAGCGATGCTCAATTACCCCTACAAGGCTAGAAATGCAATCAGACTCGACTCTGGACTTGCTCACAACATTCACACTTTAGAACCGATGGCAAAAGCGAACTCTTCCAACTCAGAAACAACAATGAACTTGTATTAAACTCAGTCTGAATCAACTGTACAACTTGAGGCTATGGCCGCCAAACAGTCTCTACCACCAGCCTCACTCTCCCACACTCTCGCATGAACGCACGTACGAGGATCACCCTGAATGTCCATGCTGTACACACACACACACTCTGTACACCCTGTCTACACCAACAGCTGGGCGGCTATGGCCACCGTCTTCTTCCTCCTCCTAGCTATGGCCGCCGGTGTCTCTCTCGCTGGTTTGCTATGGCCGCTGTCTTCTTCACAGCCCACTTCCTCTCCGGGCACCTGCAGTCCTCCACACACAAGATACCAAGGCAGCACTTCCACATGGCACACAGGCGAATGAATGAATGGCTGGACGCTGCCTCTTTATTTATACCTCTTCGGAGGTACCCGGGCCTGCCTCAAAACGTGTGGGTCTGGGCCAAAACATGTGGCCCAGGGAAGCTTCAAGATGTTTAGCCTTCTGGCCAAAACGTGTGGAACCCACAGCGTGGTCCAGAACCTTCCCCACGTGCAGCCCCTACCCCTGGTACTTGCTGACTGGACTGGCCTACAGGGACCTAAAACCTTCTAGAGCCTACAGACTTACAAACAGACTCTAGGCCTCAGTAGACTCAGATAGAGACTTCTAGAACAGACCTTCCTAAGCCGAACGGTAACAGACCTAACTCCTAATCTACAGACCTAGGGATCAAGTCTTAGACAGATCGCTGGGCCTATGTACAGGGTAAAGGCAAGGTCTAGGGATCAAATCTCACTCAGCACACAGGGTCAATGTACAGGGTTTGGGCACAGGTCCAGGGGTCGAATCTCTGTGTCTGCAAATGTCGGGTCTGGTGGGTGAAACCATTTCAGAAAGAACTACCTTCTTCGCCCGAATACAAAGTACGGTCATTATAGATAGCCGTATTTGGGCTATCTTTCCATCTAAATACAGTAATAATGACCGTACGACGTACGTTGTATTCGGGTGAAGGTATCTTTGCCTGTAGAAGTCTGACACGGCCATTCCGGAATCATCTTAATGTTAAATGGGGCAGGCGCCACCAGTGCGGTGCTACTTTTGTGCCCATTACCACTTCTGAGGCCAGGGCAATGCTATCCCGGCACGGACATGGCACTACCGTAGCGTAGTGGGGCATGCCCCTCTCTGAGAGAATGGCACACACAAGGAAGAAAGAGCATGTCATTGCCTGTTTTTCAGGCGCCTCAGTCCCTCAATGTGATCAGCACACTCCCAATCTCTTTCCCATTCCCACACAGGTAGTCAACGACCCCAACTTCTCACATACCAGTTTCTGAGCGATGGGTACAGTGACAGTTTCCTATTTGGGTATGCCATCACTTCTCATAGCCGTTGCTGAGCGCCACACAGTCGACCTTGTTACTTCTTGAGAGTCCCTTGCTAGTGGAGTGAGTGTTCATGCTGGCGGCCTGAGGAGAAAAGGAAGCGAAGGGGGGTGTTGCAGAGCGGAGACTCGATATAGCTCGGTGTTGGTTATGCTGGCCCACACAGACAGTGAATAAATGGCACAATAGTTACTTCAATAAGGGACGCACCCAAATTCCAGCTCTTTACCGGTAAGATCATCATCGTAAACCCGAATGATTTTTTTTTAATTTTTTTTTTGTAACTGTGAATCCAAAGGCCTACGAGGCTACGAGTAAAGAGTCAACTCCATACCATACATTTTCGCTCACTTCCACTCCGGGATCCTAGGGAGTTGTTCCTTCCAGGCTGTGTCGAAGTGGATACCTAGACCCTTTCCCTACTGGCGAAGCAGCCAGTGCTTCTTTCCTGTTACCGGGTCTCTTTCGAGTTAGGCAGGTGACATATCCACAGATTCCACACTGGTCGCAGACTTGCAGTGAGTCAAAAAGCTGTCAGTGACAAGTTGTGAAAATTTGAAAATACAGAAAAAGTGTTCAAGTCTTCAAGAGGAGTCAGAGAGGACCAAGAGGAGGAAAAAAAAGTAGAGAGTGCACAAAAGGAATTGAAAGAATGACCGAATTGAAAGAACGGCGATACGTACTACACTGGCATTTGAGACATCAGAGCTAAACTTGGAAGGACAGAGACTCTGGGGAGAAAAGAAAAGATTAGCATGCTACCTGGGCAAGGACGACATCATGAGAAGAAGCAAAAAAAAAAAAAAAAGACAAGAAATCAATCAATGACCATACATAGCTGGTGCTGGACCAAAGGTCTTCTGCATCATCTTAACTTCAGTGAATTCGAGTGAAATCAATCCTTTTTTTGTGCAATCACACCAGCTCCACCTCAAGTTACCCACCAAACAGACGATGCTGGGCACAATCAATGGCGCAGAGTGTGTTGCTGCCTCAGGGAATAGCTGAGTAGTGCTGAAGCACAAAGGAGAAGAGGAGGTGGGCCGCACAGTCTGGACGCCATCGCAGATTGCTTCTGGCGCGCTGACGAAGTCATCTGCACTAGTTCTCACTGGAAAAGCGGGGGGATGAGAGGGAAAGGTGGGGGGGAGAATCAGGGAAAGGCAAAAAAAGCACGGACAAGGCAAACATAAAAAAAGCAAGATGTACTGCAGAGCGTACTGGGATAGAAAACGGCCTCATGACAGTTTCCATTTCCCATCCCTCTTCAGCCCCCCCCCCTTGCATTTAAGCTCTGTGACATTGAGCTCTGACGTATATGAACTGTTAACAGTGTTAAGCCATTCCCTGTCCTCCTCATAGCCACATCCTCCCTGCCTACCTAGCCCCTTGCACGACAAACTTGATTATTTTCTAAGTTCATTGCATTTAACACGTTAAGAAGCCCCACAACTGGAAGGAGGGCTGTGGATAAAAACAAAACCTTCGACAGGCAACACTGGGTGCAGAGTGGCCTATACAACACTCACAAGGAGGGAGAGAGAGAGAGACTGGAGGTTGAAATGGCATGAATATGGACGAGGATGCACAGCAGGTGCATGGCATGAAGATGGGCTCACTTCCACCTCACAACCCGAAACAGAGAGCTATGTCCTGAGGGGGGCAAGTTCCACGAGTGGTTCGGGAGAGAGAGGAATGATCTGCGGCACACTTGTTAATTAATTAGTTAATTAATTAGATGGGTCCCTTTCGAACCGGACCCCATTTCGCAGGGGGGGGGGGGGGGGGGGGTTTAAACAATTTATGGGGGAAGGGAGGTGAATATAGGTAGAGAGGAGATTCAAAAAAAAAGAGGAGGAAAAGAGGAGAGAAGGAGTGACGGGTGAGAGACGGAATGAATCAGGACGTTCCTGAGGCCAGCGCACCAGTTATTAAGACAAGGAGGTAGGAGACGAGAGCGAAAAGAGATGCTCACCGGCCCTGCATGAAGTGCAGAATCAGGACACAGATAATCTGATGACCACGGGTTTTCTGGCACAGAGAGTTCAGTTTTTCACACAGACATCAGTGGTCGTCATTTTTTGCGGAGTCGTTACTACGACCCTGATTGAGAAAGATTTTGATGCATTTTTCAATCAGCTACGAGCGAGTCGCGTTGCTCTGTAACCTAGCAGATAGGGGGCGTGAGGCCTGGATGAGTTTGTCAGAGAATAAGTCAGTTTTAGCGAGCTTTGTTATGATCTGTTGGAAATCCCTTAGATACTCTAGTGTTCAGAAAATTGCGGTGGATTTCAGGAGGTGTTTAGCGATCATAAAAAAGGATTCGTAGTCTTCTCATCATCTATCCCAAAGTCCAGTAGCTTGTTCACGATCTTGGAGGATACTCTCAAAGCTGAAACCGGGTAAATGGCCCCGGCACCTCAATTGATTCATAAATTGTTTTGTACATGTCTTCATATGGGACGCTGGGCCCGATTCCCAGCACGTGCTGCTCCCCACGAATGAATTGGAGCATGTTTTCAAAAAAAATAAAAAAATAAAAAAAATCGATCAGCTAGCGAATGGTGAAAGGGATGATGCTTCCACGAGGTATAGACTAACAGGAGGTGCATGCCGGTAAAAGTCTTATGTGATTTCCATCGATTCCAGTAAATTTGGGCAAAAGATAAAAAAATAAAAAGTTCAAAAAAAAAAAAAAAAAAGGAAGCAGGTACAACACAAAACTGTGAAAAAAGATAGTTGTTTTTGTTTTTTAATTATAAAAAAAGTTATGTAAAAAAAAAAAGAAACCAGAAGCAGGAACAAAACGAAAGATCGCTTGTTGTTTGTTAGATTGTTACGCTGGAATTCTTACTACCGGTAGTTTATAAATTATTATGCACACTCGAGAGTCGAGAGTCAAGACCATTAACCCGTAAAATAACTAAACCGCAATGATCTGCGAGGATCAGGGTCCTCGGTAGGCCTATGGGGCCCTGTCTGCAGCCTTACCCGCCCTAAGTGAAGGCGGAGGTGCCCGCCCTAAGTGAAGGCGGGCCTGGCTTTTTGCAAGAGGCCCTCGACTGTCAATTTCATATTTGGGGTCCAGGCAGTTGCGACGCCCCAGTTGGTTGAAAGAAACACAGGCCGAGCACCGAAGACATTTCCACGGCCTACCGGGCCTTTCCAAGGAATGCAGGCCCTGGGCGTGATTCGCAGCCTCATACAGAGACAGTTGGGTGCCCAACCGAACGAGGCCCAGCAGCCCAGTAGCTGCTGCATCCAGGCAGCCTCCTGGGGCCTTCCGGAAGCTTCTGGGCCCAGGCCAGCCCAGCCAGGCTGCGAGAGCTGGCCATCTCTTTTCCATAAAGAAAAGAGCTCTGGCCAGGCAGCCTCATTCAGGCACTCGCATGCTGGCGGCAGCGCTGCTGGAGCTCATGCTCGTAGGCTGCTGCTAGCGCTGAGAGGCGAGGTGCAGCACGTGCGGTCGTGCAGAGGAGGAGGGCGCTGCTGAGGGCAGCGCCATAGCCCAGCCACCATAGCTGGTGGGCTTGGACTACAATGAAGCGCAGGGGTGGTCTTCGGGTCAAAGAGAGGACAGGGGTGGTGTAGTCCGGGGATAGGTGAAGGATGATGATGATGATGATGATGATGTGAGGGCACGTACCTTGTATTGGCAATGGTCTGCATGGGCGACATCTTCAAGTACTTCGGGCTGCCGCTGATGTCAACAGTTGCATTGTCTTTTCGTACTCTGTAGTAGCTGTGTAGGAGTAGGCTGGGCGCTGAGCGCCAAGTGTGAGTGTGAAGGAACTGGACTCTTGTGTTAGGAGGAGAGAGTATGCTCTCCATGAACATTGGTTTTCAGTGCTACGGATCTCCATTGGTGTATTATTGGTGCAATGCTGCTCTCTGGACACAGTGTGACTATTTGGCTTTCAATGTGATGGTGTGATCTGGAATTGTCATCTCGCTGTTACTTATTTTCCTTGCTATCTGAATTTGGGCGTTATATAGCTGTTTTTTTTTTGTTTTTTTTTTTTCCATTGTTGGTTGTCCCGCAGTGCACTCCTTTTTTTTCTTTTTTTTTTAATAACTCAGTGCACACTCCTTTCAACCATACCCCGCTGCAAACTGGTCATCATGACACATACCTTCCTCTTGGGATTTTTTTTTTTTTTTTTTTTCCAGTTCCAAGAGTTGTTCCAGGATCTCTGTGGGTGGGGGCCATCGAGATAGGATAGCAGAAAAAAGTCACCCAACTCGCCTTTTCAGCCGTGTTTCTTCGAGCTGTTGAAGAAACCAACAGCTCAACCTCCACCCACAGGCAGTACAGTCAGAAAACCTTTCGTATCTTGCGCTCATCCCTGCCGCACAGCAACACGCCTCCCCCTCCTCCCCCAAGCAATTGCCTGAGCACTTGCAGCAGCTCGACTTTCTGCTGCCCAGCACGAGTTCCTGTGGGCTGCCGCACTCCCGCATGTACATGAAAGTACCAAATGGATTGCCATTGCAAGATGATCCTGCACCGTGACGCTCCTGAGCGAATCGGATGGGAACCGCCTCCAATCCTCTGCTGATGTCCACGGATTTCTCGCTCGCAAACCATCGATTACTCCCATGCTCATTCCTTACACCAGCAGACGTCAATGGATCTCTACCACATACAGCCTCCTCCTTGCCTACTTCAACCCGAGCATCTCCATGTGCACTTCCTGCCAGCCCTGTGCCACTCCCAGTCATACCGACCAGTAGTAGCGGCCCCAAACTCCCACCAAACCCCTCTATTTCCTCTCGCACGTTACTCCTCATGCCGCCCGATGCGTCTTCTCTGACATCCTCCCCTTTCAGGCTGTGGATGAGTCTGTCACCCTCCTCCCCACCATCCCCTCCCCCTCCTGCACCCAACGCCTGTCGTTTACTGGGCTGCATGCCTGTGCTGTTTCCTCCTCCTCCATTCTCCCCTCCACCATTCACATCCCTTCTTCCCCCATATCCCGCCTCTTGGTGACGTTTACCGTGAGAGGGGGGAGGAGAAAGTACCTGGGAACCGCAGGCAAACATGGGGGGTGCAGTACAGTTGCGACAGTCGTCAGACGGGCACTGAAGCCGTACTGTACAGACATCTCCTCCTCCCCCACACTCCATTCTTGCACTTGCTCCTCGATGCTGTTGAATCCCTGTCCGCATGGTCCACCAGGGCCTATGGACAGTACCGTCGGGACCAGGAATATTACCAAGAACGGGAACGGGCCCAGGAACAGGAATGGGATAGGAAACTGGACCGGGAAAGGGAGCCTCTGTTGCCTGGGATGTGGTTTCATGCTTCACTTTAACTAACTTAGCGTCGGAAGTTGACTCGCATTTGGCTCCGCTGCGAAGTTTACCTGATCGCACTTCTTCCCCGGCGCTAGCTTGGAACCGTATCTCTGCCCCCACCTTGCGGTCTTGGCATTGAATTTCCCCTTTTGGAAAACACTTGTCACAACCCAGTGACCTCCTTTTCCTTTTCTCTCCTCTGTCACTCTGCTCCTCCTTGCATTCTTGCCGAACGGTGCTTCGCAATATTGTTTCCTTCACCAACTTCCCCCTCCCTACCTGGTACAGAAAAAGGCCATCACAAGTTTTCACAGCAGAAGACCGGTGCACGGTGTGAGGTCAAGGGAATCATAACCAAAATCCCGCAAACTCGAAATCAGATGCAAATGCAAGAAAGTCACGAAAGAAACTGACAGGTCCACAGATCGAATCTGAGAGGCTGAGAGAAATAAACGAGAAGGGCGAGAGCTCACAGTCAATCCTCCAGCAACAGGGAGTAATCTATGGTGTTCAGGGATTCTTTTTCCCCCGCAAGTCAAGAAAGTACATCAGTTCGGATCCACACTCTCGCTCCCGTCCTCCGGCCAAACCGAAGGGAGAGAGAGGGTGGAATTGATGTACTTTCTCGACTTGCCAGGGGACTAGGAACCGGACTCGTGCTCCGCAGAATGGATATGGAGCCAGGTGGTCATAAGGACCTGTTTTTTTTCCCTATATATATACTCTTTATAAAGGGAACAGAGGGTCTCGCGTGACGCTCCCGTGAGCCTGGGCTCCCTGTGTTGGGAAAATGGTCTGGGGCAAGGCATGGGCCCAAGGGAAACCCGCAAAAAGTGCAGAGATCTTTTTTTTTTTTGTCCACGAGGGTCCGGAGCCTGGTGCGCTGCGGCGGAGGCACTTTGGGCTTAGGGCCGCACACATTTTTTCAGCAGCGCGCCTTGGGACGCGCGTTTTTTTTATGGATTCAAGCGGAGGGCGGCGCGCATCGTGGGCGGGGCCTCATGTTCGAATACAAGTGCAGAGCAGCCTCGCACAGTTCAAACTCTACCCCTCTTAAGCCACAACACAAAGAGAGAGAGGGCAGGGGGGCAGGGGAGAGAGAATTTGCCATGGAACTCTGGCTGTTCACACACACAGGGAGGGAGGGGGGAGAGAGAGAGAGAGAGAGAGAGAGAGAGAGAGAGAGAGAGAGAGAGAGAGAGAGAGAGAGAGAGAGAGAGAGAGATGGGACCAAACCTACTCGTTTCGTTTTCGCCACGGGTGTGAATGGAAGCACACAGCGCAGAGAGAGAGAGAGAGAGAGAGAGAGAGAGAGAGAGAGAGAGAGAGAGAGAGAGAGAGAGACCCTCTTCCCCGAGCATGATGAACCCAAGCTAACTTTCCGGGCCGGCTCGGCGAAAATGACGGTGCGTCGTGCATGGGGGAAGACTGGAGTGCCGGGGGGGAGAGGGAAGGAGCACGTGCGCGCG